CATGGCTCTGATTTTTGAAAAATAATAAAGAAGATGAAGAAAATAGAGAAGTCGAAGAAGGTTTAAGAGAGGAACTTTATTGATTTTTTATTTCAATGATTCCAATTGATGGAAGAGGGCATATTTATAGGCCTAAATACAATAAATAAAAATGGTTTTCATGGCGGAATCATGCTTGCTAGAATCGTGCAGCCAGAATCACGTGATGATGATGAGAACGGCGTCGGATGCTTGATGAATTGTGGATGACAAAGGCATCGGCTGTGGGATGAGATGAATCCTGTTAGGGTTAGTCAACCCTAACTCCAGCTGGTTCTAGGTTTTCCCAAATTTACCCTTTGGTGTGTTTATTTTCCTTCTTGCGCTTCTTTCTGTAATAAACCCTGAGGGGTTTTCTGACAATATTGTTATTAGAGAGAAATGCAAAGCTTTGTGAACACCATTCTCCACATCCTCAGCTTCTTTGCTTTAGAGTGACCTTTTCTTGCATCTTTTTGGTTGGAGACTCATATGGGGATAGCTCTTTTAACTATTTTGCAAACATATTGTGCTGCAATTTTATACTAATGTCTATATTTTCTTTTTTTCTTTATTAAAAAAAATTAGGAGGTTCTCTTGTTCTTTTGTTCTTCACTTTTCTCTCTACTAATATTTCTATTTTTTTATAAATAAAAAATGTCAAGATAATAAGAAAAAGGTAAATTATTAAAAAGATCTAAATCATAATCAAACACAATATCTCCTAAAGCCAATACAACATTCTAAACAATGTATATAGTCTAAGAACGGTGTAGATGCATGAGTGCTACAAACTTATTTAAGAATCTTCCAATTAGCTCATTGTCATGCTGCATCTGTTTTTCTTCTTTTTTTTTTTACACAGAAGAGTATTTATCTATTCCCTCAACTTGCAGAAACTGAATCAGGAATCTTCAGACAGATTTTACAAGGAAAACTAGACTTTGAATCTGACCCATGGCCAAGTATATCCGAAAGTGCGAAAGATTTGATCAGGAAGATGCTTGAGAGGGACCCCAAGAAAAGACTTACTGCTCATGAAGTGTTATGTGGGTCTTTTGTACTTTGACACAAAGTATTCTGGTCTTCTTGTAGCAACATTGTGCAAGAATAATGATTTTTTCATTTGCGATTCTTGGTTAGTCTAAGTTATAACGATGGAATCCGTTTGTGTACTAGGTCACCCATGGATTGTGGATGATAGAGTTGCACCAGACAAACCTCTGGATTCTGCTGTATTGTCACGCCTGAAGCAGTTCTCAGCAATGAATAAACTTAAAAAGATGGCATTGCGTGTATGTTTTTTTTTACATTCCTTTATTCTATTCACTTATGCAGATGCATGTTCTAGGAGGATGATGATGCTGGTCTACAAAATGGAGGCCAATGGAATGCATGTTCTTTCAAAATGAGCCAAGCTGATAGAAAAGGCAGAATAAACAAAAAATATCATGTTGTCAATAGTCATTTTTGCTATTTGATATAAGGGATCATGCATACTTTTGCATGGTTTAATCTACCTAACATGACAGAATCATGTGATCTATAAGTCAGTTCCACTGGCTTTGTATATGGAAGTCGATACATGTTTACTGGCAGTCATGTCTAATCATGCATCTCCTAACTTCTAAACACATTTAAAACAACCTAGTATTACAAAGTACATGATTTTAATAGTGCCATAATCTTTTCATGAGCTAATTTACTACTAGTCCTATCATCAGTTGGAGTTAAGTGCTTCCTAATATGAGTCTAATTTATTTTAATAGAAAGAAGCCTGGGAAATGGATTTGGAAGATATATAGGTTTTCCTCAGTTGCATATGTCTTTGTTTCTTTAATTTGATGTGTGTTTTTATGGAGACATGAAGTTTCATGCTCTTTTCAAAGCCTGCTAGCATATCATACACCATAATATGCAGCGAACTTTACAGTCATTGGGCAGTTTATTTGATAATTATGTAAGGATTAGTTTGTCCTCGATCTGTTAAATGCATCCCTTTCCATCTTTGTGGTTTTTGGAAGAATGAGGATGGTAGAATGCCTTGAGTTTTTGGACAGGGGCCTTTTTTACATGGTTGTGAGTGTTGGTATTGGAGAGAAATGCATCAGTAGTTTTTAAAGTCCATCTAACTACTTTCTCGACTAGTGTGAGATATAATGACTTTTGATGTCTCTTTGGGCTAAGGCTCAACTTCTTTGGCTATTTTTTAAAGAGATTGGATTGAGTTTTGATTTGCTTTTTGTTTCTCTCCCTTCTTTCCTTTTCTTCCTTTGGAGATCTCTTATCTTCCATTGATATACTTCCATCTTTTTTTTTTCTTTTTCTAATAATCCTTATTTTTTTTCTTTTTAATAAAAACACATATGAGAAACTTATTTCTATACAATTCAAAAAACTAAATATGCTAGTTACAATAGAGAAAATAATGGATTAATACAAGTGTTACTTTCATCTGTCCTTTGACTATTTCATAAATGTGCAAGTTTTAATTACTTTCATGAAAAACAATGTAGAAACAGATGAATAAAAAAATAAAAAATAAAAGAAATGTGTTTTTGTACTCTTGTAACCATATTCTTCTATGGGGCCGTGGTATATAACCTTTGGACAATGGTCTACAGCTTGTTGAGGATAAATTGGATTATTGCGGGGTCGGTGAGGGAAGAGACTTCAGCGTGGGAGGGAATTTTTAAGGGAATAAAATTTGTAAATCTTATTCTATTGACTATATTTTGATTGATTTGGAAAGAGAGAAATAGTAGAGTTTTTGAATGTATAGAAGGGGAGATGACTAAAATTAAGGATAGAAGGTTGCATTTCTTTGGTTCTTTGATATTGAGACATGATATTTGCAGGTTGGAGAATTTTGGGAAAGTTAGAGATATACTAATTAATCTCTAAATATTTTTGTTTATGGCTGGTACTGTGGATTTAATATACTTGTTATGCATTTTATTTTTAAAAAATGTTTTTTGTACCAAGCAGACACTAAATTCTTGATTTACAGTATGTTATATGCTTTCTGATGTAGCAGATTGATAAGGCTGAGGTAGAGGTGATCATTTTTAGGGCTAAACTATTAGTTCTCACAATTTGAGATTTCTAATCTTTATGTGTCAAATGATCCAAATCCTTTCGTGGAGTCCTTTTTACTTGGGAGGGTCTAAATTTCTTTGTAGTTGAAACAAATCAACTGCCAAGTAAAAGGTGTATGAGTCAAAATTAAGAGCCAGAAACCCAAGTAAAGGGGGAATTGGACAGAGAAAGGGGAGTCTCATAATTCTGCAGTAATCAAAATTATCTTTTCCTTTCCAGAGGCAATAATCACATCTATAAAGGAAATAGCTCTGTGTTCTTGGCAGGAAAAGGAAATGGCTATATTTTATGTTACATTTTGGACTGACTTGATATCTCATATGTTATCTCATATGTAAAGCTCTGTTATGTGTTTGCTTTTCCAATTTTATTATGAAAATGGTCCAGTTTTCAAGTTGGAGAAATTCTGTTTCAGGTCATAGCTGAAAGACTTTCAGAAGAAGAAATTGGTGGTTTAAAAGAACTGTTTAAAATGATTGATACAGATGGTAGCGGGACAATAACATTTGAGGAACTTAAAGCTGGTTTGAAAAGAGTGGGCTCTGAACTGATGGAATCAGATATCAAGACCCTAATGGAAGCAGTAAATATCTGACTGAGCTGTGTCTATCTTTGTCATTCATCTAAGTTGGATAACAATAGAAACATCTTGTATTGTAAACTCTGGCAGGCTGATATAGATAACAATGGGACAATAGACTATGGTGAATTTCTTGCTGCTACTTTGCACTTGAATAAGATGGAGAGAGAGGAGAATTTAATTGCGGCCTTCTCCTTTTTTGACAAAGATGGTAGTGGTTACATCACCGTAGATGAGCTTCAACAGGCTTGCAAAGAGTTTGGCCTAGGTGATGTTCGTTTGGATGACATGATCAAAGAGATTGATCAAGACAATGTAAGTCTATTGAATGTCAAGGTTCTCATGTTAAGTAATTTAAACTTTTCTGTTTGGTGCAATTTTATATTCATAATCATTACCGTATCATCTGCATCATCATACTTCTCCTTATCTTTTTGCTTGCGGTCCTGTAAGTGTAATAGTTTATAATTAGATGTCTATAAAGTGTGGCATCTAAATTGAAACTACAGGACTTTGCATAAGTAGGCAAAAGAACTCAAACTGAATAACTAGAAGGCTCAGATCAGACTACAATGAAATGAAGAGAGAAAAGGAGTAAATGGAACGGAGATTTTGCTTCTTTTCACAAAAGAAGCATCAACAAACCAAAAATTTCCCTATCTTCATAAAATTGTCTAGTTTTAAGTTGCAAAGCAGCTTTCTACCGGAACAAGCAACTCTACAGAGTATAGTTTTTTTGTGGCCAAAATTATTTTGGAATTTCATCTAAACTCCTCTTAGAACCACTCATGTCAGCCTTGTCCCTCTCCTCATACCTGGTATTTCTCTATGAAAGAGCAGAAAGAAACTGAGCACTGAATCCTCTTCCCAATCATTGTCATCCAAACCTTATATCCGAAAGTCTTTTACCATTGAGCCTCGAGCATTTTGCCAACCAAGAATGTGTCTTCCTAGCTAGGTTGTAAAGAACTGAAAATTAATTCCTTGAAGCTTGATTGGCGCACCAAATATCTTTCCCAAATAAGGTGAAGGGTATTTTCGAAAAATGTGTAGGCTAAGGATGTTCTTTGGGACATCTATCTTTGGCAAGACGGAATTCTTTTAATGGTAATCTGGGCTTATGATTCAGTGTTGCTTGTTACATTACATGATGGCGCTCTCTATCTTCCTCTCTCTCTCTCTCTCTCTCTCTCTCTCTCTCTCTCTCTCCCTCTCTCTCTCTCA